ATGGCTCAGTGGTTAAGAACACTTGTTGCTTTTGCAGAGGACCCTAATTCAATTTCCAGAACTCAAATGGTGGCTCATAACTGTCTATTAACTCCACTTCTAGGGGATCCAATGCCTTCTTCTGGCTCCAAAGGGCACCAAGCATACACATGGTACACAGACATATATGTAAGCAAACATTAACACACACACAAAATGAAAAGAATTAATCCTTAGGGATAGAGAGTCCTATCTGTTCTGGGAATCTAAGGCAGTATGAAAGACTACATTTTTTTAATGTGTTGGACATCATTAGCAATTATGGAAATGCAAATCAACTTCACAGTGAAAATACTTTCACATTCCCACTAGGCTGACTATCAAAAAATTACTTAGCAAACAGAGTTGACAAGGATATGAAGGAATTATAACTCATACCTTGGTGATGGGAGGATGAAATGATATAGCCCCTTTGGAAAAGAGTTTGGCAGCTCTTTAAATATAAGTTATCATTTGCTATAGTGATTCTAGTTCTAAGTATTTACTACCCAAGAAACTTGAAAATGTATGCTCATGTAAAAGCTTACAGGTGACTATTTATTGCAGCATCATAAATCAACAAAATGGATGAACCTGGAAACCACTATGTTAAGTGGAAAAAGTGAAAAACAAAAGCAGATATATATGATTCCGCTATGGGAAATGTGGTCTGTAGAAAAATCCACAGATGCAGAAAATGGATTAGTAGTCATCAGGGGCTGGAGGAGGAATAAATGAAAATTGGCCTCTAATAGCCTTGTGTTTTTGGGGTGGGGTAGAGTGGGCTGAGGCTAATAAAAGCATTTTGGAATCAGACAGTATAGATTATATATAACTTTGTGAATACAGGAAAATCATTGCAATAGTACAGACGGAAAGGGTAAATTTTATGATAAGCTAATTATGTATCAATCTTTGAAACCTTGTGGCTACCATGAGCTACTTATCCAGGGTTAACATGCATGAGAGCAGCATCCTGGGCTGAATCTTCAACTGCAGTGAACACAGAGCTTTCAAGTTGCATGTGAGTAAGGCAGCCATCCTGAAGTAAACAGTTTTTTCCCAGGGAGTAAACCTCAGGAGGCAATGACAGCATTAATCCTATCAGAGAACACTAGAGAATGCTGAGTAATATAATAGGTGGTATCTTTGACTGTGGTTTTGTCCAAAATATAGGAACATTCTCCAAAAGGATGATTCTTTTTCTTTTGATTGACTTTAAAAAATTAAGGCAAAAAGTTCAAATTACAGATAACTCCATAAAGAAATTCTGCCAGTCAAACAGATCCAAGACACAGTTTTCCAAATGAGCTCACATTCTGTAGAGATAGAGCTTATGGAGCCAGGAGACATGGAAGGTCATATTCCCCTAAACTTATCCTCAAATGCCAGATGTCTCAAACCTGCATTTGCCAAGGATTAGAGGGCAGAATAAGTTCTGATCTGTGTTGTTCTTTAAGTACATGTGCATATGTTTTTGATACTGTAAAGTAGAAATCGATATGCTGTCAAAAGAACTCAGGAGCTTGATTTATACCTTACTCTAACCAGCAAAGCACTGTGCTTCCAGCCTGCGGTGAACTCTGGAAGAAGCTACAGATGAGAGTAAGTCTTCAGGTTCAACAAAAACACTAAATCTTTTCACTCAGACAAACAATTACGGGTCTGCCATTTTTGCTCTAAGAAATGGATAGGAGAATCTGAGTCTGAAAAAAGCCCATGTACATCTTTTTAATCAACTGCCTCTACCAGAAATACTGCTGCACAGTCTCTAAAAACACATACTTTGGCTTAGAAGTGAGTTTTATGAACTAGTTCTAAAATGTACCCACAGAAGTCAATGAACACCCTTCTTAGAGGAAGGGTGAGTTAGTTCTGGATACTAAATTATAGTGCTGTTTTCAATCCTTGCAAAGATTAGAGATGACTATTTCTTCTTATATACTTTAAATAGGAATGCCATGAGCCCTGCTCTAAGTCTGTATCATTGTCAATTATGAAAACAAAGCTGACCGGTATGTCCTTTGTTGTTCTCCCAAATGTCTTTCCTACTACACCATCAAGCCCGATGATGATGCTCTACACAATGTCTAGTTTAGATCAGTGCTCATAAGCAATACTCCACAAGATGAAAATAGAATATGGAAGGTGAGTAGAACTAATTACAAGTTGCTTTCTAAGATTCAACTTTTTGATACAGAGTAGGCCTGAAACCTAGAGGCTGGGCAGTGCAGGGGCCGCTCCATTCTGAAAATGAAGAGAGTCAGCCAATCTCCTTCCCCTTCCACCCGGAGTGCAGACCAGTCATGGTCAGAAAGACTTTGCAATCAATGACTTTGTCTCAAAGATGAAGGTTATTATAGCATGTTTGAGGCATCAGGAGCAGAAGTATGAATTTGTACAACACAGCTGGTCTCCAGAGACCTAGGAAGCAGCGGCTTTCCAATCAGCTCGTCCTCACACCCAGGAATGTGACCTCGCTCGCCCACTAACTTCATTCTCTCCCTATTCCACCTCTCTGTATTTCTGTCAGCCTATGAGGCCCTAAAATAAATTTACAAGTAAACCTGAAGCCAGTCTTAGATGACCTGATGCTATTTACCCATTTACCCATGAATTCAGTCAAGAATCATGGCTTTTCAATCATATTACTACCTTAGATTCTCCCTGCCTGGCAGTGAAATACAGTTATAAAAAATGAAAGCATCCATACGTCTACTGGGGCTTTATCTAAAATATTAACATTTTACTTTCAGAGTTGAAAAAACAGCTGGGCTGTGGTGGCGCACGCCTTTAATCCCAGCATTCAAGAGGCAGAGTCTGGTGGATCTCTGTGAGTTCAAGGCTAGCCTAGCCTATAGCGTGAGTTCCAGGACAGCCAGGGCAGTCCACAGAGAAACTCTGTCTCGAAAAGCAAAAATAAAAACAAAACAAAACAGAATCGATAAAATAGGGAAAACGGAAAAAGTGAAACTTTGTTTTCGGAGTACCTCTATAGATCTAACTGCCCTTAAAGCTCATGCCAGGATGACTTCAAACTGGAGGCAATCCTCTTGTCTCTACCTCTTAAGTGTTGGGATTCAAGGTATTTAATATCATATCTGGTTAAAGAAATTATTTAAAACACTCATGTGCACTAAAAAAAAAGCAGAAACCACCCAAATGTTTGAAGGGATAATTGAATGTGGCGTAACACTGAAAGTGTGGCCGAGCAGTCTAAATGTGGTATAACAACTCAATGAAATATTATTTAGCTATGAACAATAATGAAGAGTTGGTACATACTGTTGCAACTATGCTACATGCTATATGTTTCCTTATTAAAACACCCAGAATAGTCGTGAAAATCATAGAGATGGAAAGTATATGAATGATTTATGGGATCTGGAGGGCAACTGAGGGTGACTACATGGGCACATAGTTTTCTTTGGTGGTGACAGGAATGTGCTAGATGGAGGTAATAGAGACTGTTGTGCAACAAACAGTATGCCAAACTCAGCTGAAATAGTCAAGTTTGCTATCCACATTTTAGCTCAATAAAAATCTGATATGCAAGAAATAAAAAAAAAAAAGATAAAGGGCGACATTTCAAACAAGGTCTCTTCTATTTGCAGTTCAATGGTTATGTGAAAGGTGCTCATCAAAGCTGTTGCTCTGGTTGTAAATCTTTGCAGGTCTGACTTATCCTCAGAACTCTCAGTAGAGTTAGTCTCATTATGTAATTGAATTTTCATATTAAGAAATACCCTTAGGTCTTGGTTAGAGACCCAAGATAAGCACTTTCAATAAGGTTTTCATTTATCTAATCAAAATCATATCCCATTTCATTTGGACACAATAATTTAATGGATTATGATAGCTATAATTTTTCTAATGCTGGGAAAGATTAAAATTCTTTTATTGTAAATAGTACCAGTTACTCAAATTTCCAAAGATGAGGGTCTTTACAATAGAAGAAAAGGGCTCAAGATGTCAGTAGTGATATGATCTTCGAACTAGGGTAGCAAAAGCATATGGCTAGTTGCTGAGTTGAATGACTCATTATTGTAAAGAATTATCAATTGCTCAGTGGATCCTGGGACATGCCAACAACTCTGGCTTTTAAGTTTGGAATTGCAAGATTCCCTTATCTATTTCTCTCATTCCTATGTTTACATTGAAATCTCACATATATCATTACCATAATAAATCAAAATGCCATATAAGTAACAGATATATATATAAAACAGATACATATGCATAGATCCCCCTATATATGTTCTGTGGTGATGCAGATGATGGCTTTCTTTTTTTTTTTTTTTTTTTGGTTTTTCGAGACAGGGTTTCTCTGTGTAGCTTTGCGCCTTTCCTGGGACTCACTTGGTAGTCCAGGCTGGCCTGGATGATGGCTTTCTTTTGCTGAAGGAACTGTAACAGAACACCTAACAAAACAGTGTGCCTCCACATTTCAAAGCATCCATTTCAGCCTGGGTATGTAAAAGCCAGTGTGGGTCTTTTCATTCCACTAAATAGCAAAACAGGTGAATTACTCCTTGATGTATATTTCCTGTGTTACTTAGGATAAATAGAAATACCAGCAGCTTCAACTTCTATTTCTCAATTTGTCTTTAAAACAATAAGAAAGTGTGTGTTGCCTAAAAAGGAATTTCCAATAACCTCGGGGAGGGGAATGAAGAGTTTTCCATTCAGGTTCCACAGAGGAGACCATCTGAACGCTGTTATAAATAGTGAACGTATTCATTTCAGAAGTACTTGAAATACAATTACTTCATTTACTTTTGAGGCTTCATCATAACAGATTTGCAGTCCACACTCTACAGAGCAGGTGCCTAGAATTAAATAAGTTCCTCCCGCCGATTCATTTCCAGGGCTTTGGAGGGTTCTCATTTTCCAGTCCTACATCATTCATAAGGAAGATATTACTGCTAAGGTTCATGGAGCCCTCTGAGAAACTCATCAGTGCTACAAACTACTGACCTTACCCTAAACCCATCTGCCTGCAGGCCAGCTGACTCAACGTCTCCTGCCAGCCGTCAGCACACACGTGGTGTTCTGTTGCAGATCTGTGAACAGCCAGGAATGAGGAGGAGTTCCCATTTTTAGAGAGGGTCACTGAAGGGGAAAAATGTGAGAAAGCCTAATTAAGAACACTTCTTCTCCTGAGAAGCCTAAGTTTATATGCCTTTGCTTTGATTGCATACATTCATTCATATTTATTTTAGTTAAGAACTGTTTGGGGTTGACCTGTTATGTGCTCCTTCAATGTGACAGGAGGCTAAAATAAGCGAATTAGATATGTCCTCTGCTTTCAAAGCACTGCAGCCTCTAATGAGAGAGACAGGCCGTTCTTGACTTTCCTTTATGAATTAGAAGATGGCCAGAGGCAGAGCCTCAGTGCCTTGAACTTACCCAGGGGTTAGCAGAACTAATTGAGAAGAGCTTTTTGAAACTCCATGCATTTTTTTTCAGCATTTGAAAATGGAAGTACATGAGGATGGTGCTAATTTCGGGTTGATGTGGCATATGCCCAGATCCCTAGTCTCTGCACTGGGTCAGTCGCAGTTCATCTGTGGAACACTTTGTGCCTGATCACAGCACACAGGAAACTCATGACTTGGCCAGAGGATGCAAAAGACTAAGGTAGAAGCTGAGTGAATGAGGAGAGTGATGTGTGCGGAAGTAGGGAATTAATCAGAGAATCAAGATTACAAACTGCCACATTAGCTGAGATGCCTTCAAGTCCTGCCATGGCAGGAACCTGACAATTAGAAATTCCATCTGGATGAGGGGCAAGGCATAGAGCCTACAAAGAGACCACTTCCATACCCTCTTCCAGGGGATGTAAATGATCCAAGAATGACTGATGATTCAACACTATTGAATTTGAGTAATGAATAAAAACTAAGTCTAAAAATGACATGCTTCCAAACATTTGAATGCAAAATGTCATCCATATAATACAGACATTTCAAACAAAGAAGGAACTTGGGGGGAATTTTTTTTGTTACTTAGAAATAACACCCATGAATCACCACTGTCATTTTTTTTTAACAGTAAAACAAAATAGATGAACTTGGTGGGTAAAACCCATGAAGTAATTTAGGATTCATTTAGCTTAAATGGCTGACAGGCATATGAATGCAGGGCAGATGGCGGCGACCAGAAGCTTACCACAGTCCCATTCATCTGAACTGTCTGAGCAATCGACCCCTCCGTCACACCACAGGTCACGTGGCACACACTCATGGTTGGCACATTCCAGCTCATCATCCTGGCAAAATGCTGGTAGGGGGACCGAGAAGGAAGAAGATGAGAATGTTTGAGAAAGCAGACTGCAGACACTACAGGAAGAGAGCAAGCTCTCTTCACACAGATAGATAGCTTTTTAGAAATCCTACTATTAAATTACTCTCTGAGTCACATACAAATCTCTTTTGGATTTTTAAAAATTATAGTAAATCTCCTTGATTGCCTACTTAGCATCCATTTCCCCTCTTCGTCCATGAAAAGGAAACCTGATTTTGTCCAGGCTCGTACCAGCCATCCCAAGCCCCCAGAGGAAGATCTTGATTAGTTTAACATCGGCACTGCATTTTTCTGACTATTCTTATCTGAGAGTAATTATTAGTCCAGGATTAAACATGATTCCATAACAGACCCTTGGTCTATGGTTTTATGATTTATGCATTGGGAATTAGCATCCACCCAAACTCTGTGGGCTAGGCCATGTGCCTTAGCCTTGGACCTAGGCCAAACTGGAGCAGACAGTTTCTTCTAATCCCTGCCTGGGGCTATGCTTTCAGTGTTTGTAGAGAATGTCTTTTCTAATCCACACAAAAGCCCCTTTCTATGTGCTCTGCCCAGTGTTGACCCACAAGGAATCTCTCAGTGGTATTCCAGGGCAAGGAGCACCATTCCCTCTTCTTCCTATGGAATATGATCAAGGCAACTCATCCACCCAGATGCTCTTGACTTTGGACCATCCAGCCTGAGGTCAGGCTAAAATAAAAGAGTCACAGACAAGATGATGTCTTTCTATTATAGTCTCATGAATTCACTTTACATGACTTTTACTGTAATAATATAAGACATGTATGATCCACATAATAATAAATGTCTTCATTTTTTGTTAGTTTGAGTTGAGCTTTCTGTTACTTGTAAGTAAAATACTTTAAGAAAAATTTAACTAGTTCTAAAGATAATGGCTGCATATCATTCAGACATAAAAGACTTCAAAAGCACAAAACTTAATTGTACCATCATAAGATAAGCATAAACATTTTATGATCTTCTGATGTTTTTCTTTACGTATGTATATTTACTTCTCAAACTCAAGACAACAGTGCACATACTACTGAATATTTCCTATTATTCAACTGCTGTGTTTGGGTTAAGTGTCCTTTGAAGCCCATTTCTTAAGGGTTTAGGCTCAAGTCTGTGGTGCTATTGGAAAGCTGAAGAACTGCTTAAGAAATGTGAAGATGCAAGGGACATCTTGCAGCCAGTGAAGGCGTGTCCCTGAAGGAGACAGAGGGACCACTGCATCTTCTTTCTCTCTTCTAACACATAGTCTGGATGTTAATAGCATCTTTGTTGTCTCCCCTCCCCCATGATATACTTTCCTGCCACAGGTTCAAAAGCAATGGGTCTACAAATTAATGGCTTGAAACATCCCAAACTCTGGACCAAAATAAACCTAACTTCTTAAATTGATTCCCTTGGGTATTCTGTTTAACTAACAGGAAACCAACTACCACATCAGTTAAAGATATGTAATGAACCCAAGTCAAACCATTCTTCTCTACCTTGATTTAGTGTTGACATATTGTTTCATCTTATGGTTACACTTTATGTCTTCCAGTTTTGGATGCAGGGCAGTATTTTGATCTTTCCATATTGTTAGAATAATATGTGTATGTATTTTATAGACATTTCTCTTCTTGGAATATATACCTTGATAGACATAAGTTTAGTCAAAAGAACTAAGCAAACTAAAAACTTTTGATATGTATTTCCAAATTTCTAGCTTATATTTAAAGTGAGGCAGTGGATACTTAAAATAAAAAACAGTTAGCAAATTCATGAAGGTACTTACAGCAGTTTTTTTCATCCATGCTGTCAGGGCAGTCTGGAAAACCATCACAGATCAATGTATGCTTCAGACATTGTTTATTGGATGGACATTCCCAAAGATCTCTCTCTTTGCAACCTGGAAACAGAAGAAAAAGCTATTAATGATAGATGCACAGTTGAAAACGATGATGAAATTTAACCAAATAAGATAAAAAAAGAAAAACTTCAGCATAAAGGCATGATGTCTTCTTGAAGAGTTTGGACATCTGTTATTACTATGAATAAAGTGATTTTGAAAGTAGGAGCATCCAGTAGTCCCGATTCTGCACGTCAAACAGAACAGCTTTCCCAACAAAAGATCCAAATCAACATACGGGAAACAGAAAACAGTAAAAAAGAAAAAAAAATTTAAAAAAAAACCAACTATGCATTAGCATCCTTCCTGAGTTGTTCCTTTTGCTTCCTGGGTCAACTTGCCAGCATGCAAGGCTCATTTATGAAGCGAGTTATGCTTTTAAGCAAATATGCCAAAACCTAGAGATGCAAATGCGTGCAATCTTAAAATGTAATTTCAGCCTACAAACTGAGGGGCCATCTGTATGTTTCATTGAAGAGGCTCCTCGTATGCTAAGTACCTACAAAATTCGTTTAAGAGCCAGGTGCAAAAGCCATTGCTTTTTGGTGGCCAGAGATCTAAGGGTGGAAATCTCATCAGCTAGTATGGAAAAACGGAAATAATTTGGGAAAAAATCAGGACTGTGAGTTTACAACTTGGACTTCCATTCCCCCCCCCCCCAGGGGCAAGCACTTACACTGTACTTCCTACATTTCATTTGATTTAAGTGCAATGTGTCTGAATATCGGCTAAGATATGCCAAGACTCTACCACAATCAGATGCCCAGAAGATCCATCCTCCTCACCATCCTGTGAGGGTATGAAAGAAAGGATTTCATAACTTTAAACTCTTATGTGATTTTTTGGTTTTTGAGGTTTCACTCTGTAGTCAAGGCTGTCCTCAAATTCAAGATCAACCTGTCTGATTATAGATGAGTGGTCCCTTGTCCTTTTTTATGCTGCTCATTTCTCCAAGAACAGTGGTTAGCACGTGGTAGACCCTCAAAATATGGTTAATTCAAATGTAACACCACTTCATCTAAGGAACAAAAAACTCTAGTTCCCAGGAAAATATAATTTAAGATATGTCAAATGCAGAGACCAAATAAGGATACTCTTTAAAAATGTTATTTCTCATCAGACCTACAACAAAGATTTCAGAGAAATCTAGTGGATGATTAACTTAGGATTCTTGGAATCCATTATGAGAAAAAAAATATCACTGTTAAAAATGGTCATTCAAATCAAGGATCAAAATGCTCCACCAGAGTAGAAATTTTACTAAGCTAAAATTAGATTTAGAGTGTTTCATCACCCAAATATATGAGAGATAAATGGTGAGAGTCTTTCATTGGCCACTCAACTGGAGGTCCAGACATTGATTCAAGGAACTCATGGTCATGGTATTTGGGGTTTTCAGCTAGCAGAGGAAGCCAACCTTAACTACAATGTTCTGAAGGTGATGTCCTCTAGAGATTCAAAATGGACCCTGAAATTGGCCGAGTGCCCCAGTTCCTGTCCAACAGCCCAAACTTCTTATTCCACCAGAGAGCAGAGCAAACACAGAAGGTCTGACTTTTTGCTATTGTTGGAGAAACCACTCCACTAGTGAGGGATGAGAGAAAGGAGCCTGATGCAAGAAGAACTTTGGAGCTAATGAAGAATTTGTACTCTTGGGAGGGACTAATATAAAAGCAAACACAGGAAGAGATCACTGGGCATAAGGCCTTCAGCAGTGTGTGTTCACGAACAGTACAAACAAGAGGCATTGGTCATCTACGGTTTGTCCGCATTCTCCAACCCTAAATGAGTATTCTGTGAGCATTAATGCTTCCCTTTGTACATTTTCTTTTGCTAGAAAAGTTTGCACGACCAAACATCTCTTAGGGGAAAAGATGGGGAGAAGAGATGAAATAAAATGAAAGGAGGTTGTGGCATTTGTCATGTGGAAGGTAGTATTATTTGTGAAGAAATCACTTTGTCTACAAAGTAACATTTTTGATGTAAATATGTGTTCAATGTATGTTCTTTTTTTTTTTTTTTTTTTTTTGGTTTTTTGAGACAGGGTTTCTCTGTGTAGCTTTGCGCCGCTCCTGGAACTCACTTGGTAGCCCAGGCTGGCCTCGAACTCACAGAGATCCGCCTGGCTCTGCCTCCCGAGTGCTGGGATTAAAGGCGTGCGCCACCACCGCCCGGCTTCAATGTATGTTCTAAAAGCAAAGACTCTTTAAGAACCGATATGGGTGAGTTAGGATACTTCATAGAGCTTTAGGCTATATTTGGGTAATTCAAGATTTTATTTTTACATTAGTTATAAAGAATTTGCTTAAGCCATATTATCATCTCATGGCCTCACTGAGAAGGGGCACTGTCTGCACAGGTACCACCACGTTTATAAATAGCTCGCCCAGACTGGTCATAACCCTAATGAAAGCAAATTTCAGCCTTACACAGTCAATGTTAAAGCCTGACATCTAAAAATCAAATACAGAATCCCACTGCTGTTTTCTTTTTTTTTTTTGAATTTATTTTAATTTATTTTGATATACAATTCAGTTCTACATATCGGTCACGGATTCCCTTGTTCTCCCCCCTCCCGTCCCCCTCACCTTCCCCCCAATGCCCCCCCCCCCCCACCATTCCCATCTCCTCCAGGGCAAAGCCTTCCCCACAGACTGAGGTCAACCTGGTAGACTCAGTCCAGGTAGGTCTAGTCCCCTCCTCCCAGGCCGAGCCAAACAATCCTGCATAGGCCCCAGGTTTCAAACAGCCAACTCATGCAATGAGCACAAGATCTGGTCCCACTGCCTGGATGCCTCCCAAACAGATCAAGCCAATCAACTGTCTCACCCATTCGGAGGGCCTGATCCAGTGTGGACCCCTCAGCCATTGGTTCATAGTTCATGTGTTTCCATTCATTTGGCTATTTGTCCCTGTGCTTTATCCAACCTTGGTCTCAACAATTCTCGCTCATATAAACCCTCCTCATTCTCGTTAATTGGACTCCCAGAGATCCACCCAGGGCCTAGTCATGGATCTCTGCATCCAGATCCCTCAGTAGTTGGATGAGGTTTCTAGCACAACAATTAGGGTGTTTGGCCATCCCATCACCAGAGTAGGTCAGTTCGGGCTGTCTCTCGACCATTGCCGGCAGTCTGTTGTGTGGGTATCTTTGTGGATTTCTGTGGGCCTTTCTAGCACTTTGCTTCTTCCTGTTCTCATGTGGTCTTCATTTACCGTGGTCTCCTATTCCTTGTTCTCCCTCTCTGTTGTTGATCCAGCTGGGATCTCCAGCTTCCCCAAGCTCTCTTTCCCTCGACCCTCGCCTTTCATTACCCCCACTCATGTCCATGCTGTTCATGTAGATCTCATTCCATTTCTCTGTCATTGGGCAATCCCTGTGTCTTTCTTGGGGTCCTGTTTTCCGGGTAGCCTCCCTGGTGATGTGAGTAGCAGACAATTCATCCTTGTTTCATGTCTAGTATCCTGCTATGAGTGAGTACATACCATGTTTGTCTTTCTGAGTCTGGGTTACCTCACTCAGGATGATTTTTTCTAGATCCATCCATTTGTCTACAAACCTCATGATGCCATTGTTTTTTTCTGCTGAGTAGTATTCCATTGTGTATATGTACCACATTTTGTTTATCCATTCTTCAGTTGAAGGGCATCTGGGTTGTTTCCATGTTCTGGCTATTACAAACAATGCTGATATGAACATAGCTGAACAAGTGCTCTTATGGTGTGGTTGAGCATTTCTTGGGTATATGCCCAAGAGTGGTATAGCTGGATCTTGGGGGAGATTGATTCCCAATTTTCTAAGAAAGCGCCATATTGATTTCCAAAGTGGTTGTACAAGCTTGCATTCCCACCAGCAGTGGAGGAGAGTTCCCCTAGCTCCACATCCTCTCCAGCATAAGGTGTCTTCAGTGTTTTTGATCTTAGCCATTCTGACAGGCGTAAGGTGGTATCTCAGAGTTGTTTTGATTTGCATTTCCCTGATGATTAGGGATGTTGAGCAATTCCTTAAATGTCTTTCGGCCATTTGAGTTTCCTCTGTTGAGAATTCTCTGTTTAGTTCTATAGCCCATTTCTTAATTGGACTGTTGGGCATTTTGATGTCTAATTTCTTGAGTTCCTTATATATTCTGGATATCAGTCCTCTGTCAGATGTGGGGTTGGTGAAGATCTTTTCCCATTCTGTAGGCTGTCGTTTTGCCTTGTTGACCGTATCCTTTGCTCTACAAAAGCTTCTCAGTTTCAAAAGGTCCCATTGATTGATTGTTTCTCTCAGAGTCTGTGCTACTGGTGTTCTATTTAGGAAGTAGTCTCCAATGCCAATGCGTTCAAGACTACTTCCTACTTTCTCTTCTAGCAGGTTCAGAGTAGCTGGATTTATGTTGAGGTCCTTGATCCACTTGGACTTAAGTTTTGTGCACGGTGATAGATATGGATCTATTTGCAGCCTTCTACATGTTGATATCCAGTTTTGCCAGCACCATTTGTTGAAGATGCTTTCTTTTTTCCATTGTGCACTTTTGGCTTCTTTGTCAAAAATTATATGTTCATAGGTGTGCGGATTAATGTCAGGGTCTTCAATTCGATTCCATTGGTCCACATGTCGGTTTCTATGCCAGTACCAAGCTGTTTTTATTACTGTAGCTCTATAGTAGAGCTTGAAGTCAGGGATCGTGATGCCTCCAGAAGTTGTGTTATTGTACAGGATTCCTTTGGCTATCCTGGGTTTTTTATTTTTCCATATGAATTTGAGTATTATTCTTTCCAGGTCTGTGAAGAATTGTGTTGGTATTTTGATGGGGATTGCATTGAATCTGTAGATTGCTTTTGGTAAGATTGCCATTTTTACTATGTTAGTCCTGCCTATCCATGAGCATGGGAGATCTTTCCATTTTCTGACATCTTCTTCAATTTCTTTTTTCAGGGACTTAAAGTTCTTGTCATATAGGTCCTTCACTTGCTTGGTTAGTGTTACCCCAAGGTATTTTATGGCATTTGTGGCT